AAAAAAAAAACAAAACAAAAAAAACCCCAGTGAAAGTAGATCTTTTTTTATCTGTACATTAAATTTAAAACTTGGGTGGCAAACCTCTGCCCCCCCCCACGCCACATTCAGCAGATGACTAGATGTAAAAATATTTTTTCTTTAATTGTTTTAAATTGTTTTAGTTTTTTTCTTTTTATTTGAATAAAAACAAAAACAATATTTTTTTGAATCATCTGCTTTTACTGAACATCAAATGTGGTTGAAGAGAAAAATCTATTTACTGGAAAAGATGCTAAAAAATATAGAAGGTACCTTTAAAGATTTGACCTGGAGGAAGGTTTTTCTTTAAGCCTCAATAAACACAGGACTGTTTTAACATCTGTAAAAGTCTAAAAACAAAGGTCTTAGAACATTGACAGGTGCAGCGTGGACACCTTTGTCCCGTGTCCTGATAAGAGCGACCACGCGCTCATCGTCTCCACACTGCTCCAAATGAAAGCCTTTGAAAAGCCACTCTTTCACCGGGCCGTCAGCTCATAATCGTCTCTTCATTATTTCCTGTTTTTGCCCCTGGGTTTTTTAACAATAGATTTTTCTACTGACTTGATTATAAATGCAGCTCCTGCTGCTGAGCTGATCACAAAACGGTCAAATAAAAACCAACCTCGTGTCTTTCACCACATCACACCTCACCGTCTGTGTGTACACTCTGCTGCAGGCCTGTAAAGAGTCCACTCAAGGTGCAGAACGGCGTGCAGGAAACCAATTCACCCGTCAAGAAAGTGGTCAAGCGCAGTCGTCAAATCTTGGACAGCGACGACGATGACAGCGACGTCGACGAGGCCCCGGTGGTGAAAGAGAAGGTCAGCGACAAGAGACAAGGAGACAAAGGAGTTCAGAGGCAAACGGAAAAGGTGAATAAAAAGAAATCAGTCGATAGAAAAGTCAACTGGACTGGACCAGAAATAAACAGAATCCATGTGAATGTAGGTGTGAATTTGACTGTTGTCGTCGTGATCTTCATCAGTCGTCGTTCACTGATTAACCAACAGCAGCTGCTGGCAAAAACAAACACTTGTTTTATTAAAGAAAAACAAACAAAAAAAACAATCGTTTGTGTCGTTGTGGTTGTAACAACATAAACAGTACCAGAGCCCGCAGGACTCTGATTGGTCCTTGGTGAAACGGCAGAGACGTGAAGTCGATTGTTCTGATTGGAAATCAATCTTATTATAATGGTTATTGATTTTTTTTAAATGGGAAAAAAAAAAAATCAATAATGAGAATCCATGAAAACATTGAAGGAAACATTTTTTTTAAAAAAAAAATCTTTTTTTTTTTTCTTTTCTCCAGAAGGATGGAGTCTTCAAGGCGGTGCCCACACCTCTGTCTCCTCCACCAGCTCCATCCACCCCTGTGACTCCGGCCACCCCGGCCTCCTCAGCCTCCCCAGGAACCCCCACCACCCCCAGCTCCATCTCCCCGTCAGGAATCGTTAAACGCAAGACTGGTTTGTTTCTGATCACGTATTCATTTTAACCCTCGGTGTCTTGTCCTCATGATCAAACGTGACCCCCCCCCCGTCTCCCTCTCCCCGTCCATGTGCAGCCAGGAAGATGTTACCGAAGAGGAAGCTGGACCAGAGCAGGAGCAGCAGCGAGAGTCAGAAGGAGGAGTCGGAGGTCAAGGAGCAGCAGGGTCAGGAAAGTAAACGACCCCGGGTGGAGGTCGTCGATGACAGTCCAGGTACGACTCTCACCACTGTGTGTCGCTGTAGAGTCCGTTTGTCACAAACCTCTGGAAATGTTGATATTGTTTTTGAAAACTTTGTCGAATATCTTTAAAGTAAAATATTGATTATTATTTAATTTTATATTTTTAACGTTGTATTTCTACGTCCGCAATCACCTCCTGTTTATTAGTCAATCAGGAAATAACGATACAGTCAACTAGATATGCTATGAGTCTCAATTTTTTTTTTTTTTTCCCAGATTTTTAATTCAAACAATTGTGAATTTGTATCTATTTTTAACTGAAGACCTGGGCCTCGCTCTGTTTTTCTAAGATGATTTTCTTAAACACACCCACACACACACCGACCGTGTGGACTCCTGACCTCTGGGTCTGTGTCCTGACCCGGGCCTCGTCTCCTACCAGTTTGTCAACAGTCCTCGGTCTGAACCTGATTCTCTGCAGCTTCAGAAACACAACCGGCAGCGGTTCATCGGAGG